TCGCCCTGATTAGCCAATGGGAAGGGTAGCGGAGGTATGGCTAATTACCATGTTTCTCTTTTATTAGATAGGATGTTATGGCCCTAGCTGGTTTAGTTCAGTGGATAGAGCATTGGCCCACAGACTGAAGGGTCCCAGGTTCCATTCTGGTCAAGGGCACGTACCTCAGTTGCAGGCTTAATCCCTTGCCCTGGTTGAGGTGTGAGTGGGAGGCAACCAATTGATGTCTCTCTCCAACACTGATGCTTCTCTTTCTGTCTCACCCCCTCCCTTCCACTTTCTCTATAATCAATGGAAAAATATCCTCGGATGAGGATTAAAAATAAATAAATAAAGGAAGTTATGATAAGCATCCTTGTATCAGGTTTTTCCCTGCTTACCTTCTTAGGGTAAATTTCTGAAAATGTGGTAGCTGGGTCAAATAGCCAAGTTGCTCTCCAAAAAGACTAAACAAACATGTATGTCTACAAGCATGGTGAGGAAGTGTACATTTCCCTCAGTTTTTCGTGGTTTCAAATGTTCCATTTTTATAACTTTTGTCGGTATAAGAGATTCAATACCCCATTACTGTTTTGATTTGAACTTCTTAGGACAGTCAACAATGAAGTTAAATATATTTTTATGTATTTATTGATTATTTACATTTTTGTGTGACTTACCTCTTTATGGTTTTAACTATACATTGAAAATATATTGTGTTGTAAATATGTACTCTCGGCTTGTCATTTGTCTTTCAATCTTGCTTTGGTTGTTATTTTTCTTTCTCTATTTCTCTTATATTCAAAAGCTCAAATGGAGTCAGATGAATCAATCTTCTCCTTTAAGGTCTCTCTATCTAAAAAAAGATGTTCTCCATCCAACCCAAGATGCAATAATAACGATACCATAAACAACTCATATTTTATCCAAGTATTTTTTTTTAATATTTGACTATATAGTCATATATTAACTACTATTTTCTAATTATGAAAACAACATATTCATGCATTTTTTATTTTTAAAAATTAAACTCCTCATAGTGCCCCATGTCAGAGCAAACTGGCCTTGACCCATTGTCTGGCCTCTGCCCATAAGCTGCAGGCATTGAAGTGAGTTACACAGTGGGAAAAAAATTTAAACTCCACAGATAAGGTGAAAGTCCTCTAGACCTTTATCCCAGTTCATTCCCAGAAGTCGCTTTTTAAGAATGGTGTACATCTTTCTCAAGCTTCTATTTTGCATACACACACACACACACACACAGAGATAAATTATAGTTTAGTTTGTTGTTTGCTTTTGCATAAATGGTATTGTACTGTATGTATTGTCATGCAACTATTCATAATACAATATCTTTCACATCAGTACATACAGTCCAATCCACTCTTTTTAACTGACTGCTACGATCAGTAATTTGGATGTCTCAAAATTTATTTGACCCCTAAGTTATGGGCAGATATTTAGGTTGATTCCAAGTTGTCTCCCTCCAAACAGTAATGCAATGTTAAAAATATCTGTTATGTCTCCTTGTGCAGATGTTTAAATATTTCTCTAGGGTCAATACTAGAAATTGGAATTCCTGAGTAAAAATGTATGTGCATTTGAATTTTAATAGATACTTTGAAATTTTTCCTCTTCTAAGGCTTTTATGGCTTTTTACTTAATTTTAAAAATCAATTTGAAATTTATTTTGGGGTAAAAAATGAAGAAGAACTGACCTTTTCCTTCATAAAAATGACTACTCAGTTGTAGCAAAACCATTTACTAACTAATTCATCCTTTTCCAATGGATTTGAAGTGGTGCCTTTATCATATATTAAATTACCACAATTGTTGAAGTTTAACTTTGGGTTATGCCTTCTGTTCTATGGATTTATCTATTCCTGTATAAGTGCCATATATTTTAGCTACTTAGGTCTATAATACATTTTAATAGCTGGTAGGACAAGTTCTCCATCATTATATTTCCTTTTTGGGCTTTTCTCCATAGTCTGTGTTTTTTCTGGGATAACATAAATTATTTTTTTAAAGGAGTAAAATGTAAAAGATTGGAAGGAAATACCTCTTTTCCTATTTATATTGTTTACTAGAGGCCCAATGCACGAAATTCGTGCAAGGGGTTCAGCCCTTGCAGCCCCTTGCAGCCCCAGCCGGCCCTCACAGCCCTGGCTTCATCCAGAAGGTCATCCGGAAGGACGTCTGCAAGGTCTAATTAGCATATTAGCTCTTTATTATATAGGATTATTACCTTTCCTTCCTTCCTTCTTTCTAGGTTGTCACATACAAGAATGTACTCAGAGAGACTAATTGTATGATTTATGGGCTTAAAGCTAAACATTAATCACAGGAGACTATAACCAAGGGGTGGGCTATATCTCCAAGTAGAAAGAGAATTTGGGAGCAGCTAATTGCTGAAGAAATAGTGGGGGAAAAAATCTAGGGGGAAAATCATGAAAGCCCAAACTGAATTGGGAGCATTTTAAGCCAGAAACTAAGAGGTTAAACCTGAATACTGAGAAAGGAGGCGGTGGTGGGGGCCACTGGAGTGAAAAGTCAGCTAACTAGTCTGTAAGTGCATCAGAGAAATTGACTCTGAAAACCTCATCTATGTATTAATCTGCTCAAAGGAACTTTGACTGTGCCCTGTGATCTATTTTGTACCCAATCTTTTACCACACTGAACTAAAACCATTTTTTCTACATCTCATTTACATATCTAGCCTGTGTAGGTATAGTTGATCTTCTTGTAGGGTGTCTGGCAAGGTGCTGAGAGGCAAGGTAATGGTCTTAATAATGGTATTTAAATTGTTGAGCTCTGTGCTATCTTGAGGCCACTCTCGGCAAATACCATGTATGATGTACAAAGGGGTCAGCAGTACCACTTAAAGTAGGGCACATGATGAAGGTCAGGCCCCACACCTAGCTGCCAAACCAGCCCCTATTGTAAAAATCTTCTGGAAATGCCTATTTGAATGCCGGAGGCAGCGTCCTCAGGTGGATAGAGGCCACAGGATGTCCCCTTGGATACTGCCAGATGCTCTGGTTGCTGGGCATCCTGCCTGGCAAGCAAGGCAGTTACCATGACAACACCCCCCCAACTCTGCAATTTTTTGTTTCTCCTTTCCCATTAAGTACCAAGGTATTCTAAGGGCAGGCAAGCATAACTCTCAGAACAGGATGTCCTCTGCTCCAGGAAGTGGGGCAGGGAAGGTGGGAGTGGAGATGTGTATGTTACAATTGAAAAAATCTTCATCAGTATAAATGCATATGTACCTACTTCTGGGTTAAAATGTGTGCCTTTTGTTGTATATCAATGCATGTATTATGCAAATGGTCGCCCATTTGCTGTCTTGCTCCCCTCCCCTCTCTGCTGCCCCTGTACTGGGAGAGTTCCCCTCTCCTCCCTCTCCCTCCCACCCCCCCAAACCAGGAGAAATGCTGAGTCATGGTTCCAGCTGGGTTTCTGTCTCCTACATCTCCATTATTTCCTCAGGCCGCTCCTCACCCCTGCTGGGCTCTCTCTAGAGCTCTGGGCCCTCTTCAAAACCTCCTTCCTGAGCCTGGGTTCATTTCCCCAAGGTCCACTTCTTGGCCGTGAAAAGGAGGCACTTCGCTGTTTCTAAACTTACTTGCTTCTCACCTTGCCTTCTCAGAAGACAGTTCTGAGCTTTTCACCTTGCAACTACCTTCTCTCCCAGAAAACAGGAGTCTGATCAAGTTGACCCAGAAGGCTATTTCTTCCACGCATTCATGCTGATCCTCCTCCCGTCCTTCACCCCTAATCGGATTATGTCAAAGCCTCATGCCTTGGGGCACGGCAAAGAAAGTAAGATTTAATTTGACTCCACACACTGAGACTTTTTCTCATTCTAGGTCTCCAAGTGCCAAACCACAGGTTCCTGGAGGTGTGTGTGTGTGTGTGTGTGTGTGTAATACAGGGAGGGTGCTCCGTCAATGCGTTCAAGGGCAATACCCAACGCAGTAACTCCAATCAAGTAGTCTTGATAACTAGTTCCAAATAAGGAAGATTAGGGCTGTTTCCTCCGCTAGAAGACGAGAGGAGAGAGAGGGGGCCCCGCCCGTCCGCTCAGTCTGGTTACTATGGCGACAGCCGCGGGGTGACCCAAGTGCTCCTCCCTCCCTCCTTCCAAACTAAGAGAGATGACGGCACCGCGCTGACTGCGCCAAATTCCAGCCAATGGGCTGCTGCTCCCGCCTTCCCTTCCGCCAGTTCTCTCCCCCTCCCCCGGGAACTCGATTCACAAATCTGGACTGGGGATTTCCGGCTCCAGGCCGGTCCAAGGGTGCTTGGCAGAGGCTGGGGGATG